GTACAGGATTCATGCAGCTTGTAATCCTCATCAGAACCCCTGAGAGATGTTGCGAGGGCCTGACTCAGTGTTCTGTTAAATCGTTTCAAGGCAAAACTCACCTTCTGCAGGAGCCTAACTGAGGTGATGAGGCCATGTCTGGCTGAGCTGCTGCGGCAAAGGAAGAGAGGAAGGGACGCGGGTCTGATTATATTCCTGTTTTCAATGATGCTACTTTTCGTTTGATGTAGACTTGCATAGACCTATTAAGCATGGATGCTTTCCCCTATGAACCAAAAAGGCATCTAAGGTTGCAGCCTACCCCCTCCCAGAGCCTCCATTGGGAATTCTGTGATTCCCAGGAGTGATAAACAGTGGCAAAGTAAGGGCGGGATGGAGTGGGGAGCGGAGAGGTGCTTCCATGGGAATGTAGGTGGGCAGGCGTACTCCACAGCAGAATATTTCCTTTAAGGATTTATCACAGGGTTGTTTGTTTTCGGGTCACGCCATGAGGCAGGTGGGATCTTAGCTTCCGGACCAGGAGTCGAACCTGCAGCCCCTGCAGTGGGAGCATGGGGTCTTAATCACTAGCCCCCACCGGGAAGTCCTCCTATCACAGGAAGAAAGTGAAAGTGTTAGTCGTTCAGTTGTGTCCGACTCTGCGACCCCATTGACTGTAGCTCCCCAGGCTCCTCTGTCCATGGGATTCTCCAGGCAAGAATGCTGGGGTGAGTAGCCATTCCCTTCTCCAGGGGATCTTCCCGGCCCAGGGATCGAACCTGGGCCTCCTGCACTGTGGGCAGATTCTTTCTGGTCTGAGCCACCAGAGAAGCCCTCCTCCTATGACAGAGTTTCTCCAAATGAACACATTTATAGAGTAAGTCCATCACAGGCTGATTGCAGCTTCCACCCAGCACTGACAGTGCCTGAGGGCGGATGTCCTTGCGGAGTAAATAGCACAGACACCAGCCTCACAGGAAGAGGTCACCTCTATCCTAGACCAACCACATGACCCTGGTTAGTGTACTGGATGAATCCGCACTTACAACTCCCTCCCCACAAAATGTAGGGTGATGGTGGCTTCCTGCCCAGCTGGCAAGATCCCTGCTTACAAAGAATGCTGTGTTGGGGAAACAAAGGTCCTTACGCTCTTACCAGCGCTATTTAAATGTGCTTGGCCAAAAGCCTTGCCCGTTATAGGATTTCTGCCTTGGTGCCCAAGGCATTCTCTGCCCAAAGACTGTGGTACCGACAGTACATTCTGCTGCTGGCAGGGGCGGAAGAAACTCAGCAGGCTCTCTTTGGCCCCAAAGACTGACCAGACAGACCTGGGTATCCTGCAGATGCTTACTCTACAGAAGCACCTCATCCAGGGTCAACTTTCAGATGGCCACTAGCTGGGCCAGTGCGATCAGAAATGAAGGGACAGTCAACCTTGGATGTGCTTCCAACAGCCCCACCATGAGTTTCTGGGTCCACAGGGACCGTGGGTGGCCTGCTGTGGGCAGACTCCTCCTGGCTGGCTCACAGGATACGAGTCTCCTAACAGTCATGAAAGGAAGCAAGTGACAGGGTTTATCATCAGCTTCTCCTTCCAGTGGCAGAGAATTCTCAGGTCAGGCCCCTTCTCGCTCTGTAAAGATGTTTCTCCAAGCAGATGGGGAAATATCCTTACATTGGTTTAGAGGATGCTATGAGGTAGATAGGCCCCTCACTCATCCTCACTTATTCCTCTAAACCTCACCTTGTTCACAAAGAAGATCTGAGGGCAGTTAGAGAAATATGAGCAATGCAAAAGAATAAAAAGAAAAAAAATAAAGAATAAAAGTGAAAGACTCAGAGCAAAGGAAGATGACAGTGGGGAAAAATGTGAAGGCTGATGGGAAAACCCCAGGGCTCAGCGTGCTTTCTAGCTGGGTTGGTTCTCTCTGCTCTCTTATTTTCAGGCCTCCTGACCCTCCTCCCCCACAAGGGTAAGCCGTGCTGCTCACCACCCACCAGAAGCTGCTTTAGATTAACTTCAGTCAGAAAAGGGTCAGGGGTCAAGCCCAGTCCAGAAGCCTGGAGTCCTACTGGGGGCCCTGGTGAGGAGAGAGGGGGAGGGTTGGTCCCAGACAATCTGCTCCCACGGTTCCACAGGGTCGCATTGGGCCCCTTCTCTGACGAGGCTCTGCTGCTCTGACAGTCTTAAGGGAGGAAATCACTAACTCTCCATGATGCAAGAGGATGCTGTATTGTTGTTGAGTCGTGTCCAACTTTTTGCTACCCCACAGACTGCAGCACACCAGGCCTCCCTGTCCTTCACCATCTCCCGGAGCTTGCTCAAACTCATGTCCACTGAGTCAGTGATGCCATCCAACCATCTCATCCTCTGTTATCCCTCCTAACCCATCTGCCTGCATCGAGAAAAGATGCACTGTTCTCAGGAGCAGATCGTGCGAAGCCAGGTTCACAGAACTGGCAAGAGTTGTTGTTGGAAACTGATTTAATAATATTCCTAATTCACTTTCACTCATTCAGGAGACAACTGGTGTTGAAAAAAAGAGTAATAAGGAAGAAGACATCTATCTGATGAGTCTGCCCTGTGTCTTGGCCAACTCTCTCATCATCTGCTCTTTCTGTGGAATTGCCTTGCTTGCTTGGTGGTGATGGAAAGTTTCCACAAAGCGAAATGACAGCTCTGGAAGTACTGGAGGGCAGGGTTAGGGCTGAATACCCTTTTCTGAAGATGAATGGTCTGTGCAAACACAGAAACAGAACCAATTCTTAGAGGCCGAATCAGAGCGGCCTGGGTTATCCTATATCTTTAAAGAAGTGGTTGGGACTTAGGAAAGGGCATCAAGAAACAGATGAGGCTGATTTATAGTAAGCATTAATTTTTTCCCCTATGAGATGCTCGTTTAAGAATGCTGAGTGGGAATTATTCCGTTGAGAAGATTAAACAGTTTCCCTATAATCTCATTTGCACTATTCCAGTGCTCAGCAAACTGTTTCTTCACATAAAGGCATTTCCTGGATTCTGTCTGTGGGGGAGGGAGGGTGGATAAAAAAATCCATGGCCCTGCCCTTGAGGCAAACTTCTTGGGCTACTTTTAAATTATCTTTAGTAGGCTCAAATGAGCATTGCTTGCTCACTCTGCTTTGAAAGATGATGGGTAAATGAGGGCCTCTTCCTGGGTCTAGGAGTAAAACCAGGCCAATTTGAGTGTGTGCCTGTGTGTGTGTGAGTGTGTGTGTGTGAGTGTGTGTGTGTGAGTGTGTGTGTGTGTGTGTGAGTGTGAGGTCTGCTACCATTAGGCCCTCAGTGACCATTTGCTGAATGACTGAACACTGTGGGTGGACAGGAATTTCTGCATCTCCAGGAGCACACATGGTTCTCCTAGGAGGTGTGTGTGGTGACAGGGTCTGCAAAGAACTAGAAGATGGATTTAGACAGCAGCCCAGGTGGTCTAGCAGTTTGGGGCCAAGGGGCTCAGAGAAGATCCCACAGCCAAGGCCAAGCAGAGTAGGGGGAATGGTTTGGAGTCTAACTGCCCTGACTTGGGATTCCGGCTTTGTTCCTCATGAGCTGTGTGACCTGATCACCTGGTCTTTCTGAAAAGGAGGTTGGTGACATGCGGACTCCCTGGAGGAGGACGTTCTTTGTGCTCCTGGCTCCTGAGCAGGGGTCTTCAGTGGGCAGCTGAGTCCAGGCCTCCCTTGGCTCAAACAGAAGGGATTCGGAGCCAGGTATCTGCTGACGGGGGCAGAAGCGGCCCACATGTTGTGAGCTGGCCCAGCTTCCCATAAGGAAGGAAGTCATGCCCCTAGAGGGAGGAATCCTATCCAAAGGGCTCTCAGCTTCTTAGGCAGCTGGAGGCCCGGGGTTTGCAGGAGGTTTGAGTGGGGCCAGGTGGAGAAGGAAAGATGCTGGCAAGCACTGCTTGGAAAAGTCTTAAATTCCACAAGGTCAAGACTGAACATTTGTTTCCCCGACTTTCTCCAGAGCTCAAGTCAGCAAAAGGAAAACATTATTTATTCTGACTCAAAATATGAAGTCACTCTACACCCCGTCTTCTCCTCAGCTCCAACATCATCCACCCAGTCCACCAAAGCCCATCACCTCCACTTCCCAGAGCCTGCTAGAACCAGACACTTCTCCCCTCTTGTACCATTGCAGCTCCTTCCTGCCTGCCTCCTCAGACACGGTCCCCATGGAACAGTCTCCACGCACAGGAAGCCAACTTATCTTTTTAAGAAACCTCTCCCCTGCTTCAGCGGTTTCATGATTCCCCATCATTTGCAGAATTCCAACCCAAATGAATGGGCCCTGCATCCCGTCCAGACACTCAATCCCCTTCATTGAGCAAAGAGTTCCAGAAACAGAGACGATGTCCCCTTCCAGTGGAGCTTTACAATAAAACCAGGCGTCCCCCTTCATGTTACAAAAAAGAGCCTCCACTGAAAGCTTCCTATAGTCAAGGCACCCGCACGCAGAGCTCTATGCCTCATCTTGGTTCATCCTCACTACAGCCCTGGACTTCAGGGGCATCTGCCGCTTCCGTTTACAGATGGACACGCACAGGAAAGTTACATAGCGTCACCCAGATCAGTTCACTGCTTGGCGATCGCATCAGGATCAAACCAGCCAGACTGACTCCACAGAGGGAAGCCGCATGTTCCCTCCTGCGTCCTGAATGGACCACCTTTGATGGTTGAGCCCTAAGCATGTGTTTGAGTGACACAGTAACCTGTTTGTCTCCTGGAGCAACCCTGGGAGGAGGGACATCAGGGAAAATTATCTTCACTTTTCAGAAAGGCAATATAATCTCTGAATAGATATATAATATCTATATATTAGATTATATAATAGATTATATAATCTCGAATATAATCTCTGAATAGTAACCATGACAATGACACGACATTTCGCCAAGCAGCTAACACACGCTGTAGAGCATGCTGGCCTTGCCAGGAGAACAATATCCATGGACAGTGTGTGTAGCAATATGGACAATATGGACGGTCACATGGGCACTTACCCAGGAGAGGAGTCTGGCCAGATTCCAGGGGGTGCTGTCCAGGTGCAGAAAACAGGGGCAGAAGATGCGGGCAGAGGACTCGGAGACCACAGTTCCTACTCCCAGAGGTGACCTGTGGGGACGAGGAGGGAATGAAATAACAAGGGCTGCCTGGCCACAGTGACAGTACCCAGTACCATGCGGACAAGCCCAGCATCTCCCAAATGGCCCTCACTTGGCAGGTGCAGTTCTCACATTCGGCTTGGGTTGTTTGTCCTCCTATTTATCATCAGTGCTGTAAATCTGGAGCATCACCACCTGCATATCAGGCTGCGGGGACCAACATCTTTCCCCTCCGCTGGGGGACTTCTGCACTGGGCGATTCCTTTAATGCTCGGTCTCAGGACCCTCTTACAGGCTTCCCTGTGGCTCAGCCAATAAAGAAGCCACCCGCAATGTGAGAGACCCTGGTTCGATTCCTGGGTGGGGAAGTTCCCTTGGAGAAGGGATAGGCTACCTACTCCAATATTCTTGGGCTTTCCTGGTGGCTCAGACAGTAAAGAATCTGCCTGCAATGCAGGAGACCCGGGTTCAATTCCTGGGTTGGGAAGATCCCCTGGAGAAGGGAATGGCTACCCATTCCAGTATTCCTGCCTGGAGAATTCCATGGACAGAGGATCCTGGCAGGCTATAGTCCATGGGGTTGCAAAGAATCGGACACGACTGAGCGGCTTTCACTTCACTGCTTTACTCAGGACCCCTTATACTCTTATGAGTTATTAAGGAACCCCCAAAAGAGACTGCTGATATGGGCTATTTCCACTGATATTTACCATATTAGAAATGAATAGCAAGACATTACAGATATGTATTAATTCATTGAAAATAAACCAACCCCTTACATGTTAACATAAATGCTATCTTTTTATAATAAATAACTGTATTTCCGAAAACAAAAACTACGTGACTAAGAAGATAGGCCCTTTTATATTTATGAACTACTGTTGGGGCTGAGATAACAGAGCTTGGTTTTTATAGGTCATGATTTTTGCAGGAATTCTACTGGAAGCATTTTAGACCCCCTTTTCTTCTCAGCATTTGGATTACATTTAGATACAATTTAATGGATTTCTTTGGATGTTCAGCACCAGCATCTAGACCTCCAATTAATGAAGTGTCAACTCGGCAGTTCCTGCAAGGTAACAGAGTTACCTCCCCAAATGTGCTTGGGCCTGTTGTAATTAATAATGTGACCTTCTGCAACACGAACTGAAAGCTTCTGGAGCAGGAAAATTGTTCACCTGAGTTCCACGGAGGATGGCCGGCCGGAGCTGGGTGTGAGCTGCAGCATCTGTCAGTAGCAAGGCCAAAAGTCAGAGCACCTAAGAGAGATGCGAAAGAGAGGAGAAAGCAAGGAAATCCATACATCAGGAGTGATGTTTAGGTTTCAGGAAGTTCATGAACATACCCCACGACAAGATAAATGTGGTGCTGGGCTCTGGAATATACTTTTAGGAAGTCTCTTCCTTATTTAAAAAACTTTTTATTTTATATTTGAGTATAGCCAATTAACAATGTTGTGATAGTTTCAGGCACACAGCAGAGCAACTCCAAATTCTCCTCCCATCCAGGCTGACCACATAACATTGAGCAGAGTTCCCTGTGCTATACAGTAGGTCCTTGTTGGTTATCTATTTTAAATAGAGCAGTGTGTACATGTCCACCGCCAACTCCTTCACTATCCCTTCCCCATCTCTTCAGACCATTATTCTGCCAGCCTGGAGTCTGTCCCTAAGCCGCCCAACCTCCACAAGCTGGGGGATTAAGTCCCCTGTTAAGGCAGATCTATGCCAGAGAGCTGCTCTCCGCCAACTACTGGCAGGCCAGGGTGCCTATGTCTGAGCCCCCTGCCACTGTTCTTCCCCCACAGAGTTCCCTGAGCGTGCATGGTTTTCCTCACTCATCTTTTAAAAATTTTTTTCTTAAATTATTTCTATTTTTAATTGCAGTAAAATACATACACATAAAATTTACATCTTAACTATTTTTAAGTGGCATCAAGTACATTGATACTGTTACACAACCATCATGGCCACCATCCATCTTCAAAACTCATTGCATCTGTCAAATCTGAAACTGCACCTATTAGGCACTAACTCCCTTTTTCCCCTTCCCCAACAGCCCTTGACTCTCACCTCTCTCTGTATGAGTCTCCCTGTTCCATATAAGTGAAACCACACAGTATTTGTCCTTTTGTGACTGGCTTATTTCACTCAGCATAATGTCCTCAGGATTCATCCACGCTGTGGCACATGTCAGAATTTCCTTTCTTGTTAAGGCTGAATAATATACTGCTGTATATATATACCACACTTTGTTTATCCATTCATCTGTTAATAGACACTAGGGTTTGCTTCTCCCTTTTGACTATTGTGCAAAACGTTGCTGTTAACCAAGGTGTACAAATATCTATTTGAGTCCTTGCTTTCAATAAGTGGAATTGCTAGATAATACGTTAATTCTGTTTTTAATTTTTTAGGACCTGTTGCAGTGTTTTTCAAAGCACTGCCATTATTTTACATTCCCAACAGCAGTAGTACACAAGGGTTCCAATTTCCCCGCATCCTTGCCAACACTTACTATTTTCTGCCTTTTTTTATAGTAAATAGCCATCCTAATGGGCTCTCACTCATGACTGAGTCTTCCATAACAGGACATGATACAGTGCCTGGTCCAAGGGACGACCACAATGAGTGGCTTTTAAATGGAATGCCCTTTGGTTTCAACAACATGTTGAACCAAATCTCTCTCACCAAAGCCATCTTTGTGACTGCGCAGTGGTGGCGTTTATCAGCAATGAGAGCTTTATGCCAGAAGACAATACCTTCCAACACATCCTGTTCATATGTGGGAAGATTTTACATTGTAAAAGTGTATGTCTTTCCCAAGACAACCTGTAAAATCATGTTAGAATGTGATACCACAATATAAAATCCATCTAAAAAATAAGCTTATGAGAACAGACACAAATATCCTGAAAAGGAAGCGTGAAGGGTGCAGGGAGACTATATTTTGCAGTTACTGAAACACAAGAACACGGCATGCATGGGAATCAGAGGGTCACTGACGGCTTGGTGTGATGCAGAGATTTCTGTTCAGCTTTCCTCCTTGCTGTGGCCTGAGATTTACTATCATGGTTGCAAGCCACAGCACTGCTATCAGCACTACCCTAGGGCCAGCCTCGTTCTTTCAGCTTAATCACTACTTTCTGCTCCCAGCTCTGGTTCTAGCTCTGAGTCTAACACCCTTTCTTTAGGAAGTAGGGTTCCTTGGAGATTTTCCCTATTTCCTGCAAGTACAGTGATCACCAAAGTAAGTTTTCTTCAGGATCTAGGTGTTCTGGAGCAAATGGTGGGGTGGGGTGGGGTGACCAGCAAAGAAGTGTATCATTGTGCTAAAAATAGATCCTCTTGAGGAATTCAGATAATACTTTGAATGTTATAACTATCTTGCTCCAGTGCAACCAAGGTAGGCAGACCTAATGGCTAGGTGGTGGCAGTGCCCTGACCAGACTTCAAGCTCCTAAGTGACCAAGGAATCCTACTTCCAGATGCTAAGATGTCGCATCGCCTTTGTCCAGTGGTTTGTGATTTGATGACAGGTGTTTTGAGAGCTGGGAATAAGGAATAACTTTCCTCATTGGCTCCTCTCTCTACCCTTTCATTTCTGCAACCAGCTCTTCTTTTATAAGAAAGGCACCTTCTAGGTATCCAGATAAGCCAGAAGTCGTGTGTTGTGCTTATTGAAAGATAACTTTTTTCTTTCCTCCACCTCCAGCTTTATTGAGATATAATTTACATGTAACACTGTAAGTTTGAGGTATGCAAAGTATTATGAAATCTAAGTATTTCTAATGCTGGACAATGAGGAGCAGGAACAACCAGACCGACTCCTGCTGTTGCCTACACCCTCATGTTCCTCTCTCTGTCAACAGTGAGTCACTTAGGCATATGGGGAAAAACCCCAAGACCTGTTCCTCCCCCAGACACAGTGATCAGGACACCAGGACTCTGGTCCAGCTCATCCTGCAAATATCACTTTTGAACATCTGAGGAATCTACTGCCCAACCTGGCTCTTAAAGCACCTGGATCTTAGGGATGACTTCATCACAGTGATTACAGAGATACTGTAAAGACTAAATGACTGCTTCAGAAATGTTATTCAAATGGAAAACAGTGGTAGCAGCAGCATCAAAATCTTCCCAGACACCTAAGATACACAGGGCTTGGTGTTAGCACAGAGGAACAACTGTATAATCCGCCTAGCTGGAGAGCCTGGATTCGTAAATAAACGACTGTGTGAGGAAGTATATGACAACACATACGTCTCTGAAAGTGTGACCCACAGAAAACGCCCTTCAAAATAGGGCGTAAATTTTTTGTGTTTAAATCCATCTTGAAAATTCTCTCTCTTAAATCTACTTCCTTGGGAATTTACAGTGGATATTAATTTATTAAACACTGGTAGATCCCGCACCAGTAAGCCATGTAAGCCACAATTTCCCACATTCATTGACCACAGAGCTTAGTTTCACCTATTGGTGTCAATAGGAGCACATTGTGGGAAAGCTGACCTGGACCTTTACACTTCGGAAGGACCATCACAGATTACTAAGAGCTCAGTGGAGGCATGAACAAATGGGGAGTGTCCAAACAAGGGACAAGAAGAGCTGGAGCAGAGCAGAGCGGTCTGGCAGATACGCTTAGAGAAGAAGATGCCATTTGGAAAGGCTTGAGCACCTGGCTGAAGGGCTAGACTTTCACGAGGAAGCTGTGTCATGTCCTCAATGAGCCTCCTCCTGATAGACCCGTGAGAAGCTCACAGGCTCCCCGTGGCCCTGGGTGAGCACCCCAGAGTCCCGCGGCTATTCCTCACTCCCAGGCAGGAGAAGACTGTCGAGCTGGGTCTGTGTTGCTTCCAGCGCTTGCTCAGACCAGCACTTCTCATACGTCAGCCTGCATTACAGGAACCCGCAGAGCTTGCTGAAGCAAATGTTGCTGGGCTCTGCTTGGTGTTTCTGATTCAGTAGTCTCAGAGGGGCCTGAGAATTTGCATTTCTAACAAGTGTAAGGTGATGCCAATCTGCTGATCCGAAGCCCACACTCCAAGCAGTCCTTCGGGAAGACTTTTATCCCTGACTCTCAGCCCACCAACAGTTTCTGCCCTGGTGGCTTACAGAGGGCACCGGTGATTGCGGGCATTTTAAACAGAGCTGGAGAGGCAGATGGCTGCACCCATCAATGGCTCACTCATCATGTTCTCCACAGAAACAGGAAGTGGCTTGGTACTTGGGTCAAGTCAAGGCTTGCAAACTCAAATCCCAGAGGTGTCCGGGTGGCCAGTGAAGATGAGTGGAGCCAGCTGGAGAGCCCAAGCTGAGAGTGAGCTCACATCAGCTGGTGCCATGCTAGAGGGTACAGCCCACGGTGCCAAGTGGGCATCACGGTCACCTTTCCATAGTTGAAGAAACAGGCTCAGTGAGACAGGCTCACTCAGCTAGGAGTGAAAGAGTCCAGGGTCCAATTTAGGGGGGTCTAATTCCAAAAACTTTGCTCTTTCCCCTACACAACGTTGTCTCCGAGTACATTCCCCCTCCAGGTCATGGCACGGGCATTTAGGAAGGGCCTGTGGACCAAGGAGGAGTGAGGAGGTATGCAGAGCCCTCCTGGAGATCCGGAGATTTTCTATTTGCTATTTTTTCCTGTTGCTATTCTGAGGCAGAGTCACAGGCACAGAGCAGGCTCCGATGAAGGATGCCTGGGTTTGCTAAATGCTCTTGGCTATGCTCCACCAGGTTTAATCCTCCTGCTTCCCTAGTACCAGCTTTCCACCCCGGCTCCTTGCCTCGGAGTTCATCAAGCCTTAATTGGAAACAGAAATGCCGTCCCTTTCCTGAGTCACAGGATGACAACAAACCAAGAGAAATTAGAGTGAGTTTGCATGATCTTGAGCTGCTTCTGCTAATGAAGCAAATGCAATTTAAAGAGATGGTCCCTGTCATGGTCTGCAGCACACAGGACGAGGTGGCTGGCTTTTATATTTGTGGCAGCGTCAAGCTCCCCAGCTTCCTCATCAATCCTTTTTAACATTTGACTAGTAATAATAGCTGTCACACCAAATATCTCCCATATAACATCACACAGAATATAAGGAAGCATTAGAGAGTGCAGCCTCACAAATTCAACCCACTTATAATGTAGGTTGCTAAATAAAGTTTGACAGAAAGATAAAACTTGATCATAAAAGCCCAGACTCATATTAGACCATGCTTTGCCCCAATACTCATCATACTTTTGACATATTAAGGGCTATGGGACGAGGTGAATTTCATTTCTCTTCCATGCATTGCTACCAAATTGGGCAAAGGTGAGGGATGAGCAAAGAGAAGGCAAAGACATAGATGGAGAATTAACAGAATTATTAGAATTAATAAGTGAATTTTTAGAATTAGCAAGTGAATTATAAAAGTCCTTGAGCTACAAGGGCAGTGCACAAATATCAACTGTATTTCTTTATAGAAACATTATAGAAAATAAAGTTTAAATTTTACTTTATAAGTATAATTGCATAAAATGTATCAAAGATTTAGGAATAAATATAATGAAATATGTTCAAGACCTCCACAGTGAAAACTAAAATTCAGCACAGAAGACTTTAAAGGATACCTTTTAAAAAAATAGACAGAATATACAATGTTCATGAAATAGAGCACTCAATATTGTGAAAATGTCAGTTCTCCCCCAAATTGATGTTTAGGTTCAATACAGAGTCAAATCTCAGAAAGCTGTTCCTTGGGGAGAAACTGACAAGTAGAGATCTTAAGGAAATGGAAACGTGTAAGAACAGCCAAGCCAGTGTTGAAGAACAAAGTTGGAGGATATTGAGACAACTTACAATGGCATGAATGAATGCAAGCTTGGGTAAATAAATCAATGGAATAGAGTGGACAGTCTGGCAAGAGATCCCTAGACATGCTTTGTCAGATTGTCACAAAGGTAACGCTGCGGTGCAGTTTGGGGAGCAGGGTATCTTCAAAAGATGGTGTAAGATCCCCTACCTCACACTATTCACAAAAGGCAATTCCAGATAGATTACTGATGTAAATGTGAAGATGAAGCCATTAAAGCTTCTAGCAGACAGCATAGGAAATATCTTCATGACTTTTAAGTACGCCAAGATTTCTTCAATGTGTAACAAGAAGCGTGAGTACTTAAGAGAAAAATGGAGAAGTTGGCATTCATTAAAGTTAAGAAATTTTAGAGAAAGACCCTTCTCTAGTCTTCCCTCATTATTAAAAGAGGGAAAAAGAGAAAAATTTAAAACTTTAAGTCATCAAAACCCCATTAAGGAAGTGAAAAAGTCCCCATAGAGCCAGAGAAAATGTTTGTAGTCCATATACTGATAATATAAAGAACTTCCACAAATCAGTGAAAAGGGCAACTCAATAGTAAGATGGGCACTTTTCATATGTAAAATATATGAAATATGCAGGAAAATGCATATTAATCATCAGGGAAATACAAAGTAAAACCATAAAAAGAATCCAAACGTTGACCCAGTAATTCCATTATTCAGTTCAGTTCAGTTGCTCAGCCGTGTCCGACTCTTTGTGACTGCATGAATCGCAGCACACCAGGCTTCCCTGTCCATCATCAACTCCCGGAGTTTACTCAAACTCATGCCCATCGAGTTGGTGATGCCATCCAGCCATCTCATCCTCTGTCGTCCCCTTCTCCTCCTGTCCCCAATCCCTCCCTGCATCAGGGTCTTTTCCAATGAATCAACTCTTGGCATGAGGTGGCCAAAGTATTGGAGTTTCAGCTTCAGCATCAGTCCTTCCAATGAACACCCAGGACTGATCTCCTTTAGGATGGACTGGTTGGATCTCCTTGCAGTCCAAGGGACTCTCAAGAGTCTTCTCCAACACCACAGTTCAAAAGCATCAATTCTTCNGTCGAAGGCTTTGGCGTAGTCAATAAAGCAGAAATAGATGTTTTTCTGGAACTCTCTTGCTTTTTCGATGATCCAGCGGATATTGGCAATTTGATCTCTGGTTCCTCTGCCTTTTCTAAAACCAGCTTGAACATCTGGAAGTTCTCGGTTCACGTATTGCTGAAGCCTGGCTTGGAGATTTCCATTATTAGGTATATATATATATATTCCACAGAAGTACTCTCTTCTTCCTAGGATCTCCCCCACATTTTCCAGCTTCTTTTCCTGATTCCTCTGGCCCAAGAGACAGACCTGCCTGTGACTTGGGCTGCCTTCTGAGCAAAGCAGTGAGAGAAAAGAGGGAGGGGAAAAAAAAATAACTGCATCCTCGCACCCCCAGATCCTCTAAGGAGACAGACATTCCCTCGGGGCAGGAACTGGGAGAGAGGAAACACAACAGAGGACTTCCCCTCGGCAGCAGTAGGGCGTGTGGAAACTACCAAATGCACAGAAAGTGATGAGATGATATACAGGTATAGCACAGGCTGGGACAAAAATAAAATATATAACTGAAACTTAAATTTCTTTGCTGCTTCCTGACAAGAAAAGGGGGAGGTGATGATGAGTGCACTGGATTGAAACTTTGGACTCCCTGATTCTAGCATTGGCAACACAGGGGAAGTTGAAAACAGGTGATTAACAGGTGTCTCCAAGGGTCTAAAGGAGATCAAACCAGTCAATCTTAAGGGAAATCAACCCTGAATAATTACTGGAAGGACCGATGCTGAAGCGGAAGCTCTAGTATTTTGGTCACCTGATGTGAACAGCCGACTCATTGGAAAAGTTCCTGATGCTGGGAAAGATTGAGGGCAGAAGGAGAAGACAGCATCAGAAGATGAGATGGCTGGATGGCATCACTAACGCAATGGACATGAACTTAGGCAAATCTCAGAAGATGGTGAGGGACAGGGAGGCCTGGCGTGCTGCAGTTCATGGGGTTGCAGAGTCGGACACAACTGGGAGACTGAATAGCAACGACAACCAAGGGTCTAAGAATCAGGAGAACAGGCCAGACATCTGTTCTTCTATTCATTCATTCAACACATGCTTATTGGGTGACCCATATGTGCCTGGAACTAAGCTATTGACTGAAGTGCACACTTCCTCATTATTCTCATTCCTCAAATTCACACACTCTGCTCCCAGCCTGGGAGCAGTGGCTGACCTTGTCACCCTTGCCTGAGTATCCTAAGACCACTGGGTCGAGGAATTGGCACCGGAACGGAAACACCAAACCCGACACTTTGCATCCAGGGAAAGAGCCACATTTGGGACCACCGTCTTCAGGGGGAGCCAGCCACTTAACTGTGTGACCCCAGGTAAGGCACTTCACCTCTCTGAATCTTTCCTCTCATCTACAAAATGGTGTGAACACAGTGAATTCCTCAGAGGGTTACTCGGAGATTAAGTAAGTCTCTAAAGTATATGCTTTGCAGCGTTGAATCTTTACTCAACAAAAGTGATGCTTTCCTGTTTCGTCCCTCCCTCCCCTCCCACAGTCTCTCGTCCCCTCTGGCCATCTCCCTGTCTCTGGAGGACATGCCCTTCTCCCCAAGGGGGTCTCTCCTCTGTCTCCAGGAAACAGGAAAAAGCAGGCAGCTCATTCTCTGCACCATCAGCCCTGTCTGGTGAGGACCTGATGAAATTTAACAATGAAGAAATGTCATAAACATGTGCCTCAAAGGGCTCTAAGGCAGCACTCCTCCAACTTTAAACTCTGCTCAGACAGCTGTGGAACTTGTAAAACGCAGGTGTGGTTCCACTGCTCTAGCGTGGGGCCTGGGGTCTGCATTTTCACCAAGTGGTGCTGACACTGCTGGCTATGGATCACACTTCAGATGGTCCCCTCTGAGACGGAGCTCACAGACCCAGACTTCCATACCCAACACTGCCCGTGTCCCCTTCCCGCTCTAGCATCTCCTGCTCACCCCTTCAGGAGGAAACTCTCAGGATGGCCACCCTTGGCACAGGTCACCAATGGTTCTTCTCTTCTCTGGGTTGTGGGCACTGGGGAGGGGGAGGACCTGTCACCCCAACGAGCATCCCTCCAGTAGCCTCTGCAAGACCTCCGCTGGGGAGCCCTGGCAGCCAAGCCCTGAGCCCCGTCTCGGCGAGCTGTTCGTCCACCTCCACCCTGGACGCAGACCAGAGGAGCTCGGCCTCCGTGAAAAGTGCAGAGTTCCCTTACCTCCCTGATAGTTTAGCTTTCCAAGCTCTATCACATAGTGACTATGCAATGTTACACTGTTATCCCACTTCTCTGAACCTGAAGATCCTTATTTGTAAAAACTGGACAAAACTACACACACAGATTCATAGGAACATTCTTTTACAATATCTGATAGGTCACCTAAGTGTCCATTGACAGATGAATGGGTAAGCAAAATGTGATACATATATATGCATATAAAGCTGGCCCTTGAACAACATGTGTTTGACCTGCACAGGGTCACTCATACACGGGTTTTTATCAGCAATGGGTATGACATACTACATGATCTGTGGTGGGTTGAATCCCCAGATGGGGCCCTGTGGAGATGGAGGAAGCTTGGTTAAGATCAACTACAAGTTACAGGCATGTTTTCTTACCTTCTTTTTACTCCTACTGACAGCCTCAAGCTTAGAACTTCTTTATAGATCTAGGAAAAATAAAAAACACACGAAACTGTCAGGTACCACGAAAGGGCTTGTATATCTTCTTTCAAATTCTGAGTTGGACATGAAATTCCCAGTGTACACAAAACACACTCTTAAATGGGAAATCAGTCACCAAGAACTAAAATTGTCACCACTCGGCAGCCATTTATACACCCATTAATCTTGCCTGGATGACTAGTGACCCATGAGTAGCTTAGGGGCTGAATGGCAGCCAAATACCCAAGTGATGTCCTTGCGAGAGGCTCCAAAATTACCAACCAACTCTAATGCACAGAAGCAGGTAAACCTACTCTTGGCTGACTTTGGCTGGAGTGACATGCTAAGACCTAAAGAGTATGTGCTTTGAAATCAGGTTCACTTGGACTGAAATGGAATTTTTCTACTCTCCTATCTGCATCAAAATGGACAAGTTGCTTAACCTTGTTGGGTTGAGTTTCCTTAAGGGTCGACTAGAGATGATTCTTTGCATCTATATTTGTGTATAAAGTGTGTAGCAGATTTCCGAAGGCAGGGAACATGCTGAATTAACCAACGATGAATCTCAAGATCTACAGGGTAGGTCGTCAAACTGGGGACCCAGGACAACCCATGTAGTTTATTAGCAGTCAGGAGTACCTGGTGGGTACTTGAGATCTGGGAGCTACTGCTGATGGCGTGTGGGATGAGGTGAAGATGATTCAGAAGTAGGGGAAAGATGGATGGAGATGAATCTAATCTTTTCTGAAAATTGGCTTCCTTGGGCAGTCCTCCTCGATAGGCTGGGGCACAGCATCCCCCAAGGCCTTGAACCTCCTCCTTGCAATGACTTTTCTGTACTGCTTCACTGCCACGGTAACACTTTAAACAGCCACATTGATTTTTTTCCTTCCTTTTACCAGCAAAATCCTCCAGGCTCTGTTGACAGAGCAAAGCACATGCTCCGTTTCTTTCGAGCTCTCTTCAAGGGCAGGCCACTGTGCCCACTCTATGCCCGGGTTTGTGGAGAAAGCAAGCCAGGGATGCTGTTGGATCTCTGCAGATCACCTGTCCACACCTGGGCAGTGTGGGCAAATCAGGATGGTGCCACCGAGGGACAGCTGGAGATGACTTGCGGTCAGGACTTGGGAAAGTGTGCAGGCTCTTTTATTCATATATTTTTTCATGGTAAAGCAAGGCGGTTGATGAAAGTCCAGAGTTTGGGCTCACTTGTCTTTCCCTTCAGACAGGCCTTGTGTTTCCACATTCACTGCCTTGCTGACACAAGGCCCAGGATGCTACATGCCACCCCCTCACCTTGCTCAGAGCTTGGGACCCAGCCACAGCCCAGCTGTGTTGAAGGTGGCAGCATGGCCATGTTGAGAGGACTGATCCTGGTGGTCTGGCTGGATCCTCCCTCTGCCTGTTTGCTAGAAACACCGGCCCATTGGATAACACCCACTGGGAGTGATGGGGAGAAGAGTCCTCCAATGCCCTCAGAGTCACAGAGTTTCCCAGAGAAACTGAACTAATACATGTGCTGACTCTGTATCTATAAAGAGATTTACTATGAGGAATTGGCTCATGTCATTATAGCCAATGATGACTCTCAAGATCATTGGCTACATTATAGCCAATGATAACTCTCAAGATCTACAGGGTAGGTTATCATACTGGAGACCCAGAACAGCCAATGTAGTTCTGGTAGCAGTTGGGAGACCTGAGAAACACGAGAACCATCCAAAGACAGGTGGGCTCAAAGCCTGAGAAGTTTCCATTGTGTCCAAAAGCAGAAAAGGCTGACAATCCAGCTTGAAGGCAGTCAAGAAGGAGAAGTTCTCTCTTACTCATGAAATGGTCAACCTTTTTTCCATTCATGGTTCAGCTGGTTGGTTGAGGTCCACCCACATTAGAGAGGGCAATCTGCTTATTCAGTCTACGGATTCAAATGTTAATCTCATCCAAAGACACCTTCACAGAAACAGCCAGAATAATGTTTGACCAAATATCTGGGCACCCTGTGGCCTAGTCAAGTTGACACATAAAATTAACCATCACATTAAATGATTCATGTCTGTCACGACTGTGACACCCTGAAACACTGTCAATCTACACCCAACCTGTCTGGCTACAAAAATACCAACTCATTTCCTTTCATATCCAAGGAAATAATACTGAAGCCAGGGGGAAGCAGCTTCCACTTGAACCCTATCTCATGAAAGTTTAGGATTTACCATTTTCTTGGCACAATACAGAGCATGGCATGCAGAAATGAGCTTGGATTTATGATGACGACATAGGTTCAAATCCTGGCCCTTTCTAGCTGCATCACTGTGTGTAAATGACTTAACATCTCTGCATCTCCGTTTTCTCATCTGTAAAGCAGGATGACAAAACCTCCCATACTGTTCTGTAAACAATGAGATAAGGCAAAGGAGTGTTTGAAAGACGGTCAACCATGCCAACACCTTCATAACACGACACTGAAATGGGGGAAAATTCCAGTGTGAGACCACAGCACAGAGGATATGTTGATTTACCTTCAACTTACCTACTATATGGTAGACACTAAAGAAATATTGAATAAATAAATGTAAACACAAATTTTAGGCCCCACCAACTGTGAGTTTTAAATAGCAGATACCAAATTTTGTCTTCCTATATTTAACATAATGCTGTGTTCATCTATTAAGCTTTCAAAAATGTATTAGGATAGGTTATTGAAGTTTGAAATTCAAAAAATGAAGTTTGTTCATAGGCAGTTGAAGTCTGGGAGACTTTATAAAAATGTGAAACCATTAGATATTCACTTTTTGTGTCATTCTTCTTAATGTGTCAGAGATTAAAATCACATTTAATAGCATTCTGTTATGTTCACACTGTGATCTAGCCACATTTTCAGTTCAATAATCCACCCACTACTGAAGCCATTACTTCTTACCTGGGGGAAGAGAATAATTCTCTTTCACTCAAAGAGGGCACGTTGGTCTCTTTTCCTCCCTCAAATATCACCTATAAAGTAATTTCTGATTTTCTATTTTTCAGTTTAATGTGACCTTTCTCTGTACTGAATAAAAATGTGTTCATCAACTAATCTCAGCAAATTTTCTTTCTGAAAATGAATTCCATGGCTGTATACAGAGACTTCCTTGTTACGTTAACAAAAGGGAAAGGCTGAGTCACCAGGCTCATGATTCACTGACTTATCAGGACAGTGAGTCAGTTGGGCTCTGACTGCAGACTGTCAGCAGGATGAGGGAGCCAGGTAAGGCCTGGGCCCCTTCAACTGCCAACATGGAGAAAGGGAGCAGGTCTGCAATGGGCAAAACGTTTGAATATACATTTCTCCAAAAATTATATATAAGTGGCCAATAAGCATGTGAAAAGATGCTCAATATAATTAGTTGTTGGGGAAATTCAAATCAAAATCACAATGAGATACTACTTCGCACTCACTAGAACGGTTAGCTATAATCAAAAAGTCAGATAAAAGCAAGTTTTGACAAGGATGTGGAGAAATTGTAATGCTCATAGATTGCTGGGGTGAATGTAAAATGGTAAGCCATCTTGGAAATAGTTTGGCAGTTCCTCAGATAGTTAAATACAGAGTTCAAATATGATCCAGCAAATCCATGCCTAGATATCTACCTAAGAGAACTGAAAACAGACATCCACATTAACACTGGGGCCTGAATGTTCATAGCAGCATTATTCATAATAGACAAAAAATAGAAATAATCAAATGTCTACCAACTGATGAGTGGATAAATAAAAGGTGATATCCACACGATGGTATATTAAATAGCAATAAAAAGATATGAAATGCTGATATGTGCTACAACATAACAAATCTTAAAAACATTACAAGAAGTGAAATAAGCCAGTCACAGAGGGCTAGAGGTCATATAATCACATTTATATGAAATGCCCAGAACAGGCAAATTTATAGAGACAGAAAGTAGATTAGCAATTGCCTAAGGCTGAGGGGAATGAGAAATCATGAAAACTCGTGTTCACACAATCTGTACATGAACACTTATAATAGATTTTTTTCTTTTCTGGCTGCGCTGCACAGCTTATGGGATCCTAATTCCCAGACCAGGGACTGAACCCGTGCCCTCAGTGGTGAAGGCTCAGAGCCCTAGTCACTGGACAGCCAAGGAATTCCCTTCAACTTTATTCTTAATTGAATCAAACTGGAAACAACACAGGAATGAATAAACAAACTGTGGTACAGCCCTGCATAGGAATACTATTCGGCAATAAAAAGAAAAGAACGTTTACACATGCAACAGAAGGATGAATCTGAGATTCATGAAGCTAAGTGAAAGAAGCCAGACTCAAAGACTACACACGGTGTAAATCCATTTCCATGACATTCTGGGACAGGCAAGAAGCCACAGGACAAAACACAGCTCAGTGGTTGCTAGGTGCTGGGAGCAGGGGGAAGGGTTGACCACAAAAGGGCACAAAGGAATTTTTTAATTGTTCTGTATGTTGACTGCAGTGATGGTCACAGGTATTTGTCATGTATTTGTTAAGTATGAATTTTTCAAAAGTCACAGGATTGTATACGAAATAGGGCGACTTCACCAGCATGTCAGCTTTTTCTCAATATAAATTTTTAAAATTGTTTTAGAAAACTACTAACCACACTAAATTAAAAAAAGAGATCCTTGTTTTTGTTTACCATTCCATTGAAAATGTTTGCCAAATATGTAAAAACATGAAAACATAATAGCATATCAGGTAATCAAATGATTATATTATATATTTACAGTATAAATACAAATATTGTATTTAAAAAAAAGATGGGAAAAAAATTAACTAAAATGCCAACAGTATTCATTTATGACTGTTGGGGTGGGGGAGCCATGGATGGTTTTTCTCATTTTTCTAGTTTTTAAGTTATATTTAATATGTATTATCTTTCTGTAAAGAAAATCACATATTATGTTTATGAAAAAGGATATGTAGGAGTCAGGATAAGCCTTCCCAAATATAAACATGTGCTCAGAGTATATGT